TTAAATGAAAGATTTTTGTAACTGTTCAAAATTTGCCAGAGAATAGAGGAATCACTTGCCATGCAAGTGAAATTAAATCAATATATGGAATTTCATCGTATAATAAATTTTAAAATATTTCAGAAATAATGTTTCGGATAGATGAATGACATTCGTGACTATAAAAATCATTTCGTATAGTAAAATTATGTTGGCAAATTTCGATACAGTGGTGTAGTTCCATGGTACGCTATTCAAATAATTGAAAGGGAAGGTATGAGGACGTAGTATTTCTGAAAAAGTTGAGATACCCAGTTGTCATCCATTTTTTAATAGGACGACCTGCGCTGCGTTGAAAAAGTCGTTTTATCCAGCTGTAGCTTTTCCTACCGTTTTTATCGTCTTGGCAGAAAGTTAAGTACTATTTCGCGTGGTTTCTAGGCGAGAGTCCAACTGGAACTTTCGAGCCAAATATGTGTTGCCGTTCCCTCGTTTTCGCGAGACAATAAACTCGTGCACTCAAGGAATATCTTGAAAATATTCATACGCTGTATCTAACTGTACGCCATTAGATTTTATGATAGACACTGCATTTAATAAACAAGGGCCTGAGAATCGTAGTGATGTTAGTAAAAACAAAATTTAGGGTACCACTGTCTGAATACTTTCTGTAATTCAATTTTCACGCAACTATGATACATTTTATGCACATGGTTCCCCAATTTATTTTGCGCTTTTATTAACCTTTTCGGTGCTCTGCGCGAGTATACTCGTTAAATTATTTCGTTCTTGTCGTGCTTAAGACAAGTTAAATCGCATGAACTTGTTGTTAATGAGTTAATGAGTTAACTTTTCTATTTAAAAAGCTCATGCGATTTAACTCGTCTTGAGCACGACAAGAACAAAATAATTTGACGAGTACACTCGCGCAGAGCACCAAAAATGTTAATCGCTATATGTACGAGGTTGTCCCATAAGTTTCCGGACACTTGCTACCAATAAATCATTTTATAATAACATTATAATCAAACAATAATTATTCTTCAAAATAAATGCCATCGCTTCTGATAGTTTTCATCCATCTTTCTGCCAATTGTTCCAATCCGATTTGGATCAAATGTCATAAAGAATTTTAATGTTAAAAATTCAAGCATCAAGTGTCCGGGAACTTATGGGACAACCTAGTATGTGTACATATTTTATAACATATGACGTTTGAACGATTTCTATGGAGTTCTTTTGATTTAGTATATGTTTCTCTAATTATCTAAGATGATACATTCTTTTTTAATTTACAGAAGAATTATTAAAGAATTAGCGTGCTTCGTATCGAGCATCTTTATTAAAAAGATACGTCTGACGCTGAATTTACCTTGGTGCACCACAGACTTCAATCTAAAAGCGCAAAAAAAGTGCTTTGCATCCTCCCCGCGAACGAGTATCGTGAATTTTTATGTGCGAGACACTTGAGACTAGTTATTCAGGAATTTAAAGAGCAAATGGCTGCGCGAATGATCGGTCACGGAAATATACACAGAGGCTCTGGGGCGGGACCGCGAATATCGAATCGTGACGTGCATCGGAAGTGACTGATTAACTGTCGAACAACGATAATTTCCATCGAGCAATATGCCATGGTTCGAAGTGCCTCGTTTCGTACCGCAATATTCATGAAACGATCGATCCACCACGAAGAAATCTCTCGGTTCGAATGAAACACAATTGAATCGAAAAATCATACATAAAAAATGATCTACTCCTTCTTTTGCAGAATAGGGTATTCACCTCTTACTGAACAGCTTATAAAAGAAAATATTTGGACTCACTTTGAGTAAAATTACATTTTCCAATATTAAATTTGTGATTGTTTCTTTAAATGCGTTCTTCAAGTTCTATATTTAAGAAGTTTAATTCTTCAAATAGTTTTGTATTATTAAGCTACATTTTCTCCACGTTTTCTATAAATACAATAACGTCTATGGAATCTAATTGGAATAATTGTGGTTTTATTAATTTTTCAAAAAGTTCCACAGAAACCTAGCCAAGTCAATCCTGACTATCTATCACCATTAATTTCCACAAAAAATAAAACGTTCCACGAAAGAGGGTTATTCCATATTTTCGATCTACCTTTTCTCGTGTCACCCCCTCTGCAAAGTCGTGCCAGAAATCTTGAAACCTTCCGTACAATCAGCCACGAATGGAGATTCTCGGATGCAAGGAGCAACGTTACGTAAACGGCAAAAATATCGTCGGTGACAAAAACCTGGGATACGTTTACGGTACGCTAAACGGCACAAAGGGGACACGAGGAGGTGTGGGGATCGATTTTCAGCCTGGAATTTACGATCCGCAGCGGCGCGCAACTTTTCTGTGGTTTGTTCGTCCTGTTTTTTCTTTCTTTTTATCTTTTTCTTTTTGTCATTTTTATTCTGAGGAAATCGAGTCGTCCGTGGACAGAGGAAACAGGCAATGAAAGACAATGCTGGCCGTTCGGGGGAAGGCTTTCGGAAAATACCGAGGGTAAACTCTGAAAGAGGGGAAGTGGAATATCGAGTTGGCAGATATCAATGGGGGATGGCCACGTGTCCGTCGCGAGGGGGGTCGAAACTCGGCCCAGATTCGAATGTGGGTCGGGTCACCTGCATCCCTACATCCCCCGGGGGTTGCGTCCGGGTGCTGCGGAGTGCGCGTTTTCCAGTGGTGCACAAAGTTCCTCCCCCTGGACTAATCTGGCCTCTTAATCAAATTTACCCCACTCGCCAAATAAAACGAACGATAAATTCGAAAATCAAATTACCAGGAATGTCACTTTATATTTTTTAATAAAACATTGCAGTGCGGTATAACGGACTACGTGCAACATTTATCGACTAACAAAGGAGACTAAAAGAGAGTGTTCTTTCTTCAAAGTCTAACTCGTTTATATTAAACGAGTTTATACATATTTCACACAAAGTTCAAACTGTCGTTTGACATATGCTTCATAAAATATGTTGTTGCTTCAATTTTGCGAAATTTATGAATAATTGATCAATGAATATTACATATTACTTCAATGTCTCATGAAACTCAGAATTCAATACGAAGAAGGTTGTGATTAATAAATTATATTTCAACAATTCAGTACTTTCAAGTTAGCTTGAAACTTGTTATGCTGCAGTTTCATTTCGAAATTCGGGTAGTAGAAGTATTATTTTAGTTTCTTTGATTCAAGAGAGGAAAAGGTTGCGCACCACTGGCATATTCGATGCACTTGCAGCTCGGGACACGGTCGTATGTGACAACCGCAGCTGACCATCAAGCGTCGAATTTGAATTGATAATACGCGTAATTTCTGACCGTCGTGTTGGCGGCCGTGATAACGGAGGAATAATTAATTACGGAGCTGGGCCGCGGGTTGTTCTTTGACGCATAAACTGTCCGTCGCGTTGGCAACGACAGGCTCCATGTTTTGTGCTTTCTTCGATGTTCAGTAGTTGGTTCAGTAGTAGTCATTTCCAAAACAAAGTACAAAAACAAAAAAATATTTCATTGACTCCCCAACAAACAGAAAATGGAGAAACTCACCGGTAAACCAAAGAAAGACTTCCCCACGCGATTCACATTCGCGACATCTTCCTCCCTTTTGGCATCGAAGTAAAAAGGAAACGTTTTGCATAATCGGTAAATTCGCTGGAGTTTATCGGAAACTGGCGGTTTCGTTAGCGGGGTGGTAAGAGACGTCGCGAAGCCAACGAAAGCCTCCCGTTTCCAGGACCTTAGCGAACTGCGACGAGACGAAGCGAGTCGAGAACGGCTATCGCGGATGGGAATACTGCGAGGCGGCTTCAAAAGTTGCCTGTTAAACGACGGAGTTAACTTCGTTTCGTTGTTTGTCGCGAACCGCAAATTTCCTCCAGTTACTCAAACCTAGGGTGCCGTTATAATCACGTGGATGTACGCGTTGCCAGGACAAGCGGGCGGGTGGTGAAGAGGGTTAACGGGAGGAGGACACGTCGTTTCGTCGTCGTGTTTCTCTCTTCGCGTGACAACTTGCTTGCCGTACGCTCCATTCGTGATAAAGGATAGCGGTAAACACGGGCGCCACTGCTCCACAGTTCTATCTCTCGTCCCGGCGTTTCCTATAGGCCACTCCGTCTTCCATTGCGCCAAGCGAATAGAATTATATTGATAAGGACGCTGCTTTCAGCGGAATAATTCAATTTCGGGTGTACACCAAGTTCACTGGTTATTCCCTTACCGTTCCATGGATCTTGAGGTTTGTTCTTTTCTCGGGCCGAGACACCTAGTTACACCGACATTCAATCCTGGATTGCGGCGTGGCCCGAGCGAATTCGCGACAGTAATGCATGAAGGTGGCCCAGAAAATATTGCGCGTTTTGAAACCTTATTTTTGGGGACGTAGTAACTGCCGGAGAACTGGAACTTCGCACGTGATGATTTATGATTGAGCTGAGGACGATTTTGTCGGAGAGAAACTGGTGGGTGGTCAAAGTATTGTGTTGCTTTTGAAATTATTACTCATTGTTTTTCACTGTAGAATTTTTTTCATTGGGTGCAAATAGTTACGCATGTCTAGAAGCGCGTTACTGCTCAGGAAAGGTCTGGATAGTGCGTTAAATAAATTACAGTTTTAATTCCTATGTATTAATTCCTAATGTATTAATTAATTAATACATCTTTAGTTCCAAACTCCAGAAGTGTAATTTTTCCTTAACTTTAATACTAAATGAAACGAACAATAAAAACTCAAGCAATTTATACTTCGCCAATTAAAAAAGTATATCTTGTACATTTGTATCGTCTTCTCTCTTAATTAATAATATGTGTTAATATTATTCTATCGAACGAAGAGTTTAATAATTACCAAAAAGCAAGGTGTCCCTAAAGTGCTCGACATTCTCTGAGAGACCTTGATGCACGATGACGATACCATAAACGAATTTTCGTGGGACAGAGATATTTCACTTTTGAAAATATATGTAATTAGAAATTCTGACGGTCACTTTGAGACTCACCTCGGGACTGCAGATCTTGTATTTCGTGCTCCACGGTCTACCTTTGCAAGGCTTCTTCCTGCACCGCCTCTGCTGTCGAGAAATTCCGCCGCCGCAGCTCCTGCGAAGTGGCATGAGTATAATTAAAAAAAAAACAATAAACTATGCACTAACAAGGAGCATACGTGAAATTTCTGACACAGAGTTTCGCGAACGCGTGTTCGCGCAGCAGGAGAAACAAAATTCTCGGACATGAATTCCTTTCCATTAGCGAGGATTTTAATAGCAGGCGTACGAACTGCATTCGCGAAAATTTAAGTATTAAAAATTAGGACAGCGTACAACAGGAATGTCACGTTACTCAGTTGTTAGAATAATAAGGCTTTCACTCTAGAGTTTTCGAATCTTTCGAATTTCTTTAATTTCTGATCGTTTGTGATCTTAAAAATCTCTGAAATCGTGCGATTTTCAAAATTCCTGAATTATTGCGATATCTGGAATCTTTTAACTTTTGTCATTTTTAAAACTCTTGGACTTTTCTGATTGAAAAACCTGAATCATTGAATCGCGAACCACTGGGACTTTCAGAATCCTCGAATCCTTACAATTTTCAGAACAACTGAACAGTCGTAACCCTCAAAATCTCTGAACTCTGTCGATTTCCGAAATAACCCTTAAACCCCAGTGATCACCATCCGTAAATCGAGTTCGTGACGTCAGCATCTCGAGCCTTTTTTTTTTAACGACCAATTGATTCTCGCCAAGTGCTTTCCCCGAGAAATCATCGCGGCGCTAAAAGAGCAGCGGGAAATTAGAAGGAAATTCGAGGCCCCGAGGGAAGTTCGTTGCACGAGTTTTCTTGATCGCGAACGACTCGGTACGAGAGTTTAAGTGGCACTCGTACTTTCGGTACACGGAGCTGGGTAGTTCCCAAGCAGTGACGTAGCCGGTTAAAATTTGTTTCAGACGCGGCGTGCTTTAATATTTAAAAGCAATGTAATACAGAGAACATGCATAACGAAGAGCGTCGACTAAACGAAGAGGATCCTCGAGTCGACGACAAACGGAACGTTTGTACGAAGTTGCCTTCAAAGGCGCCAGGTTTTCGAAAACATTGGTCGATGGCATGAAATTTCGTTCGACGCTTCCACTTGTCTCGATTTCCAAATTAAATCTAGTTAACGATGACTGATAACGTCCAGTTGCGAAAATATAATCGGAAGATCTGGCTTCTTGATCTTCTTTACGGTTGGCTGATTTTTAAACGTAGTTTAGAAACATGATCCAATCAGGAACTGGCAACCAAGGAATTTACGAAAATAATGCCGTAGCTGTCGAAAATTATCTACGTTGGGTTAATAATGCCGCGCAATTTCAACAACGCCGCTCGCTGAAAATCTCCGAGTCGTCTTTTACGTGTCGAATGAACGTCGTTTCTAATTACCACAGGCGAATTTATTAAATCCCCGACCAAACTCTGGCTTATTTGATAGCGAACAACATTCGTGCACCTCCCCCTCTCCCCACCCCACTTCGGGGAGTACGTTAAAGTTAACGAAATCTTGCGAAAGTTTCAATTCGGTTCCCGTCTACGCTCGAATTTGAATTCGGGATTTTCACGGCGGGCCGGAATTCGTTCGGCTCAGCGAAATTAATTAACTGATTTCAGTGAAATAGTACGCGTGAGAAAATATTGAAGTAATATCTCCGACACTGGAGGTCGCTAGGGTAGTTTCGCGATAAACTAGTTCCACGACACCTGAAGAAGCAAAGCATATAGTTCGTTGACGATAACATTCGTCTAGTTTTAAAAAATTCTAATTTCGCTCGATAATGAGCATTAGGACAAGAGAAGTTTATTCTAATTTATACAGGGTGTCCCAGAATTAGTGTAAGAATTGGAAATGGGGGATAGCTGATCACAATTTTCTTTGCAAAAATGTCGAATGGTGCTCCGTTTTTGATTTAATAATGAAAAATCACCGACCAATTACAGCGCCTGAGTAGCGCGCGCTCAGCTAGCGCGAACCAGGTCGTGGCGTAGCCATCCAATCCTGGCTAGAGCCTATGCTCTCGTGGCTGAGCTTGAGCTATTCGAGCGCTGTGATTGGTCGATGATTTTCCTTAATAATTCAAAAAGAAAGGACCATCCGACATTTTTGCAAAGGAAATTGTGGTTCGGAATCGTCTTTTTCTTCTTTCGTTCTTTCACTCATTCTGGGACACTCTGTATATTATAAGTTCATAAATTATATTATAAGATGAAATTTCTTTCGTGAAAATTAGCAGAAGAATTGGACAAAGCGATACCTCCAATTTATGTTCCTTATTATCAAAAAAATGTTTTAATATACTTATCAAAAGGTTTACATTATTACCTTGGGATAAGCTCATTCTAGAGATCTGTAACGTTTCATATAAAATTCACAAGTAAACAAACCATCCTTCCCGTTGTAAGTCTCGCAACATAGTAATCCCGCAAGGTAACAAATTGTTACGGAGCTTGAAAATGCCCACGTCATCCCAAGAGGCAAGCGTAGCTTAATAAAGCTTGCTTAATAAAGCGAGCTTGTATAAAGCTCGCAATAAAGACTGAAAATTTATGTCTCATTTTATACTTTAAAAGCCGCTTTGTTGAATTCCTCAACGGCCACCTTATTTTCCCATTTGCCGGTAAGAATGCTCCCCTGCACAGAGGATCGAACGCCGCTGCGAGAAGACGCGGAAATGTTCGCGGCTAATATTTTTATGCCGCCAGGAACGAATTCAGACGCCGCTGCGCGACTTTTGGTGGAGCAAATTTCTAATGCAGCGACCGTAAATCGACGACGTTGGTCGCGGTAACCGGAAAAAAATGTTAATAATTGTATCGAACGAACGGGGAACGAAGATTTACAGGTCGGTGGGGGGCGGAAGTCGAATGTACTGGCCCGTACATCATACAATAAGCTTCTCCAGGGGGGCGGAAGAGGGGGCGAGTGCAGTTCACCAGTAGTAAGCGTCATAAATTATTTGCTGGCGCAGTCTGCGCCGTTTCTGGCCAGCTGAAAAACGAGCTGGCCACGAACGGAACTCGCCGCTACCGAAATGAGTTCTGAAACGCTTAACATTCCGTCGGTGTACAGGCGCCGCGACTCGATATTAGACGGTGCGAAACGACCCCGCAAGCTGGATATCGTGGTATCGAACTGCTATCCGCGACCGAAAGACCATCGGTTAGGGGCTTATATACACTTTGAACGCTTGAAAGGGTGGTACGCTTCATGGATCGATCTTTCACTCGAACTGCTAATTCTTTAAATAAACATTAGAACAATATTGAAGGATGATTGTGTCCTTTAGGAATTTTTGTTGGGTTAAAGTACTAAGAGGAAAAATGTTCATGGCAGTATAAGTACAGTTCAAGGGTAAGAATTAAAGAAATAGATTATTAAGAAATATTAAAGATTAATTGGGGCACTTTATGAATTATATATACTTATGAACGTCGAAAATTTAGTTATTCTGTATTCATTTTTTAATTTCATTATGAATTGTGTTTTCGAATATTGTCGAATGATATCGCAAAATTAATAGTAGCATAATACTAATCGAATATAATATAAATATGTAATATACATGTATTATCATATTGAAGTTATTATTTTCCTATCTTTTTTAATCGTCCTACTAAGAACACTGCAACTGCAGTAGATTGCTGCTTATGATAAAATAGCAGCGTCAGAAGAAATTATTCCGTCTAGATTGTTCCTCATTTGTTAAAACAATGAACTGTTAATAGGAAAATATGATGTACTCACTTGGAGCAGCTGGACCACTTGGACCAAGGCGACCATTCGCCCCACGCTACGCTCTGAAACCAGAAAACAATTTGTCATGCGATTAAATTGAATAAATAAAACGCTGTCTACCCCGTAACAGGGGTGTGTTTATCACGACGCGGCGCAAAAATTCGGACATTCAATTATCCTGCGCGGGTGAATTAATCAGAGATAGTATTTGCGGTGCCGCCCCGTTGGTTTGACGCTACTTTTAACGAAATTGGAGAATCCGCAGAGCGAATAAATTTGGGAAAACCCCGCAACGGAGGAGAAATATTCGAAAGGTAATTGAACCTGCGCCCCATGAAATTGTTGGACAATTTGTCTGTGTAACGAGAAATTTCGTGTTTACCGTGCGGATGGGCTTGTTAAACAATTCGTTGCCGGCGTGGATTTACGAATGGACGTCTCGCAAGTTCCACCGTTTCCTGATTCGATGACTATTCAGATAAAAATTCGAAAAAAGTAATATAATGGGCGACAGTAAAAATGTTATAGATTATAAGGTATAGAATGTTTAGAATATAAAAGAATATTTAAATATAAATAAAAATATTTAAATTAGGACGATCCAAAATGAAAGGATTAACTTAGAGACTATCTAAAGATTAACCTTGTACCATCACACCACGAAATCTTATTATAATTTCATGGATTAAGATGGAGACTCTTAGTATCATAGATTTGCAGACATATATTTGGAAGTACGGTAGGTAGCGAAACTCGTCGATAAAAGTGCAGTCGTACGAACGTCGATATATCAAAGTATTTAGCAGCCCTGCGCGATACGGAAACAGAGAAATCTCGTTCGTAGGGCAGAACGTGGGAGGTTCGGAGCTCGCACATCGATATCCCTCTCCTAGCAATAAGTTCGCCGCGAGACGTGATAAAAATTTCGGCGCCCCTCCAGGACCTGAAATGCTCGACACGTTCGCGGTCGAACTGAGCGTATTTCGAAAATTCACTTTTGCCAGTGGGCTCCAGACACGTCGGGCTGAATTCCTGGCTGGATTTTTCGCGACGCCGAGGGGTGCCACCGGCGCCGCTCGGCCAACATTCAAGAATCCATAGAAATAAACTGGAAAGATTGATGAAGCGCTCGACGAATTAATCCCGGCGCTTGATGGATCCTCCGGAGGATCATCTCGGTTCGGTTGTTTTTCTACAGCTGCGTTTCATAGGGTAAAAACGTTATTAATAATTTAAAAAATAGGTAAATAAATAGATATTCTATAGGTACGCTATTTTCATATGGATCAAATTTTTTATGTTGTTTTTGGTTAGTGTAGCAATGTACTGATAGTTTGGGAAGAGCTATCGATATTTTCATTTCATTATGTATGTATAATGTAAAAAGAATTTCAATTCCAATTCTAAACTTTTACACAAAAAATAGTTGGACCTTAATTTTGTTCGTGCTCGAAAAAGGTATTCGTCACGCTCTCTTATGTATCCAAACTTGTTAATTGAAGACTAATATATAGTATTATTTTGTTGGGTTATTTAAAACAATGTTAGTTACGAATGATCATCCTCAGCTGTAAATAATCTAGAAACGTGTTAGATCAATTGGGATATCCCTTTAGTATTAAACTATTTAAATCAATTTACGCGTTTGTTCAACCCCTGAAACTTTTATTTCAACGCGTATGGATCATCATCAGCGCAATTTTACGACACGTCGATGCATCACAATCACGCAGAAGCATATTTCCCTGCATCATCGCCCCCGATTCGATTATAACCACGGAAGTAAAATGTTTCAAAACTCCAGCGCGGGGCGGTAGTGCATAGTTTGCCGACAAATTACGTTAAGCCCGGTTCCGACAAAGAAGGTCCGGCTACCTCCAATTAACGGACACGGTTCTCCCGGTACGACTATTAAAATTTACAATCCACTAAATCCACGCAGAATCGTTAACACCGTCGTCGTTCCAATGGTAGCGGAGCGAAGGATGGTCGGAATAAAATATGGAATTTCTTCCCAACGACTTTACCTTGGATCGTTCGTTCTCTTTACCCAAGGCTGCCTGATAATGAGCTGTTGTATCGGTTTTCCGTCGAAAGAGGTTGGCAATTAATCCTTTTTATCCGATTACTCGAATAGGAATGGAGGGAGGGAGAGATTCAAGGGGAACGAGCAAACCATGAAAGAGAATCGTGCGATGGAAAGACGAAAATGGCGTGAGGGTTGCGAAACGACGCGACGGGTCGAAAATGCAGCGAAAAAAAATACAGAGGAATGGAAGTTGGAGAATAAAAAAAAGTAGCTGGAATAGATGGGAGCAAAAGTGATCGGGAGTAACGTTAATGGCCGTTGGTGCTTTTCATGAACTCCCACGGTGAAATTTATTTTCGGGCGCTCGGGGCTCGCTAACCCATCCCTTCGATCGTATCCACCCTCTTTCTTTCACGTTTTGCGCGGTTTACAGTTAATCGTATCATTATGGTGCAAATTGAGGAGTTTCGAGTGAAAAGATTGATTATTAATGGGTTTTTGAAGACTGGTGCACTTTTAATGTAAAATTCAAAGAGTTTAGGAACGTTTTGGCGTTTGGATGGAACGTGATATGGAAGTGGCGTGACTTGACGGTTTTATAAGATCAAAGTTGAAGTTTCATTAATGAATTAATGTTAGGGTGAGTATTGATAAAAATCGATCAGTATTCATTCCTTAACATTTAGATTTTGACAGTGTTGACCATCTTTAGGCTTTGTTTTTTGAAAATGGAAAAATTTGGTAGGATTGTTGAGACAGTATTAGACACCCAAATCTTTCCTGGTTGGACAACAATTTGCCGACAGAGCTACCCATGTCATTGTCAGATTCCTTGTCCTCACCCTAAAATTCCAGAATTACTGGTCTGGGATAGCTGGAGCTTGCAGTGCTTCAGAAATTGTCTCGTACAGCCACCCTGGGATTGTGAGTACCATAAGTCTCAGGTACTTACACACAACGACAAATAGTTTCGGAACAGGGCACACGTGGCGTTTCATTGTGGCGCGGAGAGATGTATCCAGGGGACGATTAATAGGAAGAGAGTTAGAAGACACCAGAGTGAGATTGTTGGGAACAAATGTTGATGAAATATCGGTTAGGTCTAATAAATAAATGTTTGTTCTGAATTCAACTAAAATTATTCAAAATTGCATACACTGAAAACTACTGGTCATTTGATTTTTGCGCGAATGCCATCGCTCGGAGTGTTCCATTTCAATCATAGGCAAAATCCATATCTACCTAACAATTGTAAATAAATAACAAAATGAAACCTGTTCATCTGTACTCGCTAAATAAAAATAAAAAAATTTGTCCCACGCAATCAAACATTGTACATCAAATAAAAATTGACCCATTCAATCGAACAAACGTCACGAATAGATACTTCGTGATTCGTTATCTGTAAAATTAAACTAAAACTACAAAAACCAAAATTTTGCCTGTTCCTGATCGCGTCCAGGAACGATCGTCGTTGGACCATCGATTTCGTCGTTCCAACGGTGGAAAAACGCGTTGAATGCGCGCGGTTTTGAAAACCACCGCCTCGTTTATCTTCTCGGACGGTTATTTCGCGAAAGCTCGTGTCGCTGGACGGAACTTTTGTAGGATGTAACGAGGTAACGCGGCGACATCGGCCACGGATACGTGGGCGCTTTAGCATTCGCTGGGAGAGAGTTGGTTCATTAAAAAGGCACGAAACAAGCGCGTGCGACGCTCATTTGTTAAAAGTTCACGGGGGTGTTCTCTCGCTTCTCGAATCGCTGATTCAAGAAACGAGTGGCGGAGCCTCGTTCTTCCTTCCATTGATCTCTCTTTTCCATGACATGTCAAATCCTAGCAATCTTTAACCAACAAATGAATAACATTTCTTGGAGGTATGATCAGTTCATTTCTTTAAGCTTTGTGTGCATTGCTTTTTTCTCTTAATATAAAATATTGAATTTATTGAAACGATTGTTCGACTATATTTTATAATAATTGAGATGTCTATTCGATATGAGAGCTGTTACAGGCGAAAATATTTGGAACGGTATTTTTAATGCGAGGTAATGTCATCCCGAATACATAATCCTTTGAAGAACCCAGATGGTAGATAACAAAAAATCAAACTAAATCTTTCCCATATCGTCTCCGAACATTATGCTTTCCAATCATTTTAAGACAGAATCTCTTGAGAGCAGGGTACTCAGGAAAATCTGATAGAAATCTTCGTGGGGAGATCTGGAAAGACATCTTGAAGTATGAGACCTACTTTCCAAGAGAACGTAGCATCAAACAGATAGTCCATTTCGTCAGCTCGTGTAATCGAACAACTGGTTAACAGTACAACTGTACCAAAAGTACACTAAATTTCAATCGATCTATTAATTTATAATTTTTTGAATTTCATCATAAATCTATAAATCACGCTATTTTTATATAAGCAGCTTCTAAGGAGACTAGAGAGCGCCAAAAACGAAACGAAATTCCATGTCATTTTCGCTATTTAAAAGACTTAAAAATTTCATATCACTGAGATATTGAGCACCGAGTCTGAACAGTATAACCATTAAAAGAGTTAAAATGGGAAACATGCTTTCCGGAAGAATCATCGAGAATTCTCATCATAAGAATGGTCCATTTCATGAGCTAATGTAATTGACCCATTTACGACGAACGTACTAAGAATAGTTAGACGTATCTATTTCAAACGCGAGCACAAGCGTTATTGTGGACTGGGGACACTAGATACCTTAGAAGCCATATTTATTTTTACACATCTAACTCCACGATATTGTTCTCACTATTTACTACCAAAAATAGTTTACTACCATGCTACTAAAAGTTTCGAATCTATTCATTCTTTTAGAATTTATTACTAATTTAAATTTTATTGCACACAAGTTTCGTTGTACTTTCATTCGAAATCCACTCGTGTATCGATTACTTTCGTTCGACGATGAATTGATACCTTATGGATGCTTTTCCATTCAATGAAGGATTTACCTTCAACTTCTCAACATGGTCTTCCTCCCTGCAACTTCGTTACAA